AAACATAAAAATGAAACACAATTATGTAACAAAAATAGCAGCAGAAAGGATAAAAACACAGTATCTATCATACTACTCTTTGGCTGTGATCAAACAATGTGCTAAATTTCTGTAGCAAATTAAGAGTAAATGCATTGTAATATTACTCCCTATTGCAAGTGGTACTTTAAGATGAAAACACAGGTGGTCAGTAGAAGTCTTGATGTCATGGGTGTCATCTTTGATGATGTGAATCTCATCATTTGTCCGATGAGATTGTGATGCACACAATGTCACTTGCTACCTGCAAGTGCCCACAGCTGCAAGATTTAATTGATCTTTCATTAATCAACACATTCTTGGTTTGCAGAAGTTAGAATCTTTATTTCTAATTTCTAAATTAGAACTTTATTTCCAATTCCAGTTCTTGCAGACCAACTATTGTGGCTACTCCAAATCTGAACACATATGGCCTCAGATAAACCTAGGGGTCACCAGAGAGCAGGAGAGAATATGACAGCATGCACAGTAACTTTCACTTCTTGCTCATACCTTTTGCTCTGCATAATGACAGATTCCCTTCTATTATTTTATTTACTGTACAACAGGTACAAAGACACAACAAATGTAGATTTTTCATGTATCAGGCCAAACCCCACTCCCTTCTAGCATTGATGATGTTACTTAATTTGATAATGAAATAGAAAAGAAAAAGCACCAAGTTCAGAGAACACCAAGGACCCCACAGTTCAACCCTTAGCTACAAATATTCTCATCTTTCAGTAAAGCAAGACTGATTTTTTTTGCCAGTGTTAAGCACTGTAATATTTGGGATAGGGAGAATGTGCACTCCTGAGTTAAGCCATGAATCAGCAGCGGGCCATGAGACATACTCAGCCTCCCAATGTTTGGAAGACTTCAGGATATTGACCAGTAACAAGATTTTTTTCAGCCCTTTTTGATCATTAGGAGGGGTGTTTAAGGGTGGGAATATTGAACAGAGAAATTTGAAAATCAAACTATTCTTGCTCTTAAAACCCCCTGAAACAAAAGAATGGCCTGTTTTTAGCCAACTGGTGGTCGTGGAAATAAGGATAGGAAAGGCAGCTTCTGGGAGCCAATGTACTCTTATTTCTATTTTTTTACTGATTTATATCCTGCCTTTATTATTATTTTTACAAACAACTCAAGGCAGCAGACATATCCATGCTGTTTTTCATGGCTAAGGCAGGACTTGAACTCACAATCTCTTGCTTTCTAACCTGATACCTTAATCACTAAACCAAACTGGCTCTAGAAATCCTGTTTCTAGCTTCTGTTATCCTCACTTCGTCAAAACTATGTCACCCAAATTTGGCAGCAAAATAATCTAATTTTAGAGAACAATATCAGAATGTTTAATAGATTGGAACTTTTTAATAGGGAAAATGAGTACAAGTTTGTCTCCTACTCTATTCAGTTCCTGTATTTTGAAGAAGGAAAAACTGTACCACTGAAAAACTCCTATTCTGCCACCACATTTCAGCAGTGATACCAAGATATTGGGACTGCAAAGAGTGTTAGACCCCCACATGAAGTGAACCATCAGTGGTGGCCACTTTCAGGATGCAAATTATTTATCTTGGCCATAGAAACATACTTTAAAAACTGTGGTTCACACAACTCATTAAGTCAGCAAACCCTGGTTCCAGGGTCCTATGCAATCATTTTACAGTCCCCTCAGATCAAGATGCCAAAATTCACTGCCATAATTACCACTGTATACTGTAGATCATGTTTTAGGACTTAGTAGTATCACTTGGTATAAGACAAACCCTAAATGCAACTGCTGAAAATTTCAACATCTTATATCCATAAGATAGTTTCATTATCTTCAACTAGATAAGGGTTTTGCTTGTGACCTGGTTGGAAATTCCATCACTATTGAGCAGAAGTTGAAAAATCATTCCAGAAGAAGGGAGTGACAAACTATTTGAGTAACATTACCTAGGAACCGTCATGGCTGCAGTTAGCAAGATAAAGCTCAAATTGAAGGTGCCTTCTTTTTTGAGCCAGGCTCTTTAAAATACAGAGCAAATAGGTGCAAGCAAAAAAAAGCCAATAGACCAGCGGTTCTCAACCTGTGAGTCGGGACCCCATTTGGGGTCGAACGACCATTTCACAGGGGTCGCCAAATAACGCAGTCCGCCATTTTTTCCCTTTTCCTTAGCTGTGCTACCCCCTTTTATTCTATTGGCTTTTGAAACCAATAGAATAGACTCTCTTGAATAGAGTCTAATTCTATTAGCTTTCAAAAGCCAATAGGAATTGTCCAGGCTGTCTCTGCCCTGCTGAGCCCGCCAAAAGTCCCATTCTACAAACGGTGCTGCAAGTGGTCTGCAGCGAAGGCGAGCTGTCTGGAAGCTTCCACCCCTCCCTGCTGAGCAATACTAAAAATGTAAGTAAAAGAGGGCCAGGGGTAGGAGGTGGGAGGCCGGCAGGCGCAGGGAGGATTGCTGGCACTCGTGGGGCCCGGCGGGTGCCTTACCTCCCTTGGGCTGGGCCAGCTGGTGGCCCAGCCAGTGGTCGCCCTGCACCGTCACTGCCCCTTGCCAGCTACGCCTCGGCCGGCGCAGGGGGCGGCACCACACATGCGTGGCGCTCCCGGGCAGGGAAAGTGCTCGACTTATGACCGGTTGGGTAGTCCTCGACTTACGACCAGTTGGGTAGTCCTCGACTTACGACCAGTTGGGGGTCGCGGCATTAAAAAGGTTGAGAACCACTGCAATAGACTATCACATTTACAAAGTCAATTTCATTAAAGTTTTTATGTAGGCATTTCTTAGCCTGATAAGTATATAGTTTCTTTGGACTTTCAGATTGTAATGCGTAGGCAACCTTTACTTAAACACAACAGATCCTTATATAAAAGTAGTTAGCACAACATAAAGGGCAAGTAACCAAATCCATCAGTTTTGTTTTAGTCCCTATCTTTAATAGCATACATATGCACCTATATACACATACATATAACATTTTAAAAATGTATTAAAATAAATGAAATGTTTACTGAATAGTTTTTTAAAAAGTCTTCAACTTTACATATATCTGGGACATCAATCCCACTGAATTAATGAGGCTTACGTTTAAGTAGACATGTAATAGTGTTAGTTGTAAAGACAAAGACCTGCTGGAGGTGCACAGTAATATTTATATTGTGCTATCCTATGCAGCCCTCTTTAATCTGGTGCCCATTCAGAAGTATTGGGCTACAGAAGTGGTTTGGGAACAGTTATAGTTGTAGCCCAACACATCTAGAAGGTAACAGTTTGAAAAAAGCAAAGTTAGTGTCTGTTGGTCTTTGGTAAATGTCTATGGAGGTTCTCAATCATCTAAGTCATGGTTGTCCCAAAGATGCTTTTTCAAAAGGCAACTGGACTTTATTTTTCCTTGAAGACATTTTGCTTCTCATTCAAGAAGCTTCTTCAGTTCTGATCTCTTGGTCTCTGGTATTCTTTAGCCATTGTTCCCTGAAATCATAGAAGTAAACTCTACTATATAAACCACCCTGGCTGTGTCAATGTAAGATTCTAAGCCACAAAGAAGAATGGGAATTCAGCCAGGATTTTGAATATACTCTAATGATTTATATCATGCACTACATTATAGTATGATTTATAAATCATACTAAGCTTAAAGAAAACATAATGTATTAGTGAATAAGACCTTCTTGGGATTCTTCCTTGTTCTAAAATACTGTTGTTGTTGTTAATTGCGAAGTCATGTCCGACCCATCGCGACCCCATGGACAACGTTCCTCCAGGTCTTCCTGTCCTCTACCATTTTCTGGAGTCCATTTAAGTTCACACCTACTGCTTCAGTGACTCCATCCATCCATCTCATTCTCTGTCGTCCCCTTCTTCTATTGCCCTCAATCTTTCCCAGCATTAGGCCCTTCTCCAGTGAGTCCTTCCTTCTCATTAGGTGGCCAAAGTATTTGAGTTTCAACTTCAGGATCTGGCCTTCTAAAGAGCAGTCGGGGTTGATCTCTTCTAGGACTGACCGGTTTGAACGCCTTGCAGTCCAAGGGACTCGCAGGAGTCTTCTCCAGCACCATAGCTCAAAGGCCTCAATTCTTTGGCGCTCAGCCTTTCTTATGGTCCAACTTTCACAGCCATACATTGCAACTGGGAAAACCATGGCCTGGACTATACGCACTTTTGTTGGCAGGGTGATGTCTCTGCTTTTTAGAATGCTGTGTAGATTTGCCATAGCTTTCCTCCTCAGGAGCAAGCGTCTTTTAATTTCTTGGCTGCAGTCCCCATCTGAGGTGATCTTGGAGCCCAGAAAAATAAAATCTGTCACTACCTCCATTTCTTCCCCATCTATTTGCCAGGAATTGAGAGGGCCGGATGCCATGATTTTGGTTTTCTTAATGTTGAGTTTCAAGCCAACTTTTGCACTCTCCTTCTTCACCCGCATCAAGAGGCTCTTTAGTTCCTCTTCACTTTCTGCCATTAGAGTGGTATCATCTGCATATCTTAGGTTGTTGATATTTCTCCCGGCAATCTTAATTCCAACTTTTGTTTCATCTAGCTCTGCCTTTCTCATGATGTGCTCTGAATATAAGTTAAATAGGCAGGGCGACAGTATACAGCCTTGCCGGATTCCTTTTCCAATTTCGAACCAATCAGTGGTTCCGTGCCCAGTTCTCACTGTTGCGTCTTGACCCGCATATAGGTTTCCTAAAATACTGTACACAGGTAGAATCATTTCACACAATCTGGATTCATAATTCATTCAAAGGCATGGTATTAGGCATGGGTTCTTGAATAAGCTACAGTAGTTGGATTTATATATAAAAAAACAGCTCACAAACTAGGATCTACAAACCAAAAACCTATGACTAAGCATGGTAAGTGAACATACCATACAGCTTCTCCCTTCCAATCATGGACTAGTGAGCATGGCTAGTATAGCCCAATACCAAGTTCCTTAGACCATTCATATCTCAAATCAATCCAAAATAAAGTTCCTTTTCCTTTTAATATTATTTCTATTATTTTTGCTACACACCTAATAAATGTCTCTTATATTATTTTCCATCTCATGAAGGTTATTTTAATGGAATATGTATTTTCATGAAAGACACTCCCATGACAAACTCTTGATTTCATTTTGCTTACTATTACATCCATGATATCTCTGCAAAAGGATGCATCCCAAAAACTAGTAAAATTTTCCTTGAGACATCAGAAAATTCCTTTTTCATGTTGTTTCCTGTTGTGATTTTTCCCCCTGTGGTCTAAGGATCTTCATGTTTAAATTCATGGAGGAGAATGCAACATTCTGCTGTAGGATACAAAATCAATCCCAGTACAAATAGAGTAACGCAAATATAGGATTCCCTTCCAGTCGTGAAAGGATCTACTCCTTTATCAAATGGATTGTCTTGACAAACACAATGACAATTATTTACAGTTTGTTATTCCTTCCCTCTTTCTCTATCCAACTGAAAGAGAAGAGAAAACCCCTTTTTTGTAGCACTGATTGTTTTTGCCATGCCAGTTCCTCTTAAAAGTGCAAATAGAGGGAAAGTCCATCTTCAAGTGCTACAGATGGGGACCATTGAAATAGCCTTTGTCTCCCTCAATGTCCACCTCTTGATCTGAATCATCTGAGATGTCTGAATCCAACTCTTCCTGGGAGACAGGTGAAGGGGTATATTGTGGCCTATGTGGAGAAGCTCCCTTATCCATCTCGGAACTCAAACAGTTTTCTTGTTTGGAAGTCTGAAGACTTTCTCCACTTTCTGATTCTTTTTTGTTGGGTTGAGGGGTCTCCTGAAAACAAACACAGAAGTCATTGAATCATTTAGTGAGAAAACCACTGGAGTTTGGAAAATATTGGCCATTTCAAGCTTCCTTTGGAAACTACAGAAATCTAATTTTCTGAAAACCTAGTTCTGCCAACTGGCTTGGGGCAGTCCCATTCTAGAGGCAATTAGTAGATTAGGAGAATATGTTACCTCCCCCCTATTTATATATTAATCCTTTTTTATTCATTTTTTTTTGTTAATTTTAATGTTTTAACTTTTAATGATCTATGTTTTTAACATTCTAATTATGTGCACTGTAATTTATGAGATTATAATCCGCCCCGAATTACTTGATAGTAAGATGGGTAGCATATAAATTAATAAAATAAAAAATTAAGTGAGCTACTTACTCTTTAATAAAAATAGTAGCTAGACATTAGGGTAAGAGCTCAGCTAACCAAGGTCAGCAACATCTTCTTGACCTTGGCTCATTTCAGAAAGCTAAGCAGAACTAGATCTGTTTATATTTATATAAGAAAACACCAAGAAATCTATAGCGATATAAATTAAACTTGGATTTGGAAATAATGACTGAGAAAGTGAATTGTTAAAGATAAAAAGAGTGAAAGGTAATCTACCAAAATTAGGCAAATTACATCTTAGGTTGGTTCTGCTCCATGGGAAATCAACTCAACCAATAGTTTCAAAGTTAGGAAACTGCATCTTAAATTGTGAATCCCAAATGATACTGATATTGTATAACGTGCTTGGTTTTCTTTTGATTAAACATGCTATATCTGCATAACCCTTCTATTGCAAATTACATTTTTCAATTTATTACAATGTGTGATCTCGGCCACTATGATTCATGGTTAAAACAAGACATCTTAGGGTAATGTGTGAGCCCAGAAAATATATTCATGGGAGTTTATTTTGATTAGGATTTGATAACTGCATGTGAACAGAGGGCATGTATCGTTGGAAACTGCCAACAATATTTAATCATGCCACAACTTTTGCAAAACCAAACATTGCTATGATTCAGGAGTTTTTCAAAACTAATGTTTCAGAATGCCATTTGTCCTCTTAAGCAAGCTGAAATAATTAAGCACTCCCTATGATTCTGATCTACTTCAAGTACATGAATCTGGAGACAGCAAGTAAGGTTCAGAAGCAGGAAACATTGCCCTTACCTGTTTTAAGCGCCTCCATTTTGCACGCCGATTTTGGAACCATGTTTTAACCTAAATGACATAAAGTAGGGGAGAAAAAGTTTTAATGGGAGAAAAATGTGAGGGAAAACCCCCTCTCTAAACTACAATCCTAAACAAGCTTATTTGCTATGGATAGCCTGAGATACTCATCAAACACTGCAATACTGTAAATGCCTACTCAAAAACTAGAGATTTTTTTAATAGTATCAGAGAAAGAAGGGAACCGAATTCAAATATGACTTCTGAACTAACAGGTCTACAGGAAGTTCTCCCTGTAAGTGAAACATGTCTACAGTATTAAGAACCTGAGGAGAGCCACTGTCTTGTTGTTTCAGCCCCCTCCCCCAAAGGGCAGAAAATTTGAGAGCAATGACACCCACTTAAATTCTCTCTACCCCCATCCACTTTTTGTTCCTAAATCCAGAGACTTTCTCAAGCAAGAAAAAAGAGCCTATCAGAATGACAGTGAAATCTACCATTGCATTGATCCTGCGCAGAGAGGGCACAGCTGTGTTCCAAATGATAAAAGCACATTGGTGTGATTTTATAAGGCCTACAGAGGGGATCAGTGGGTAGCATTTGTGGAATTTGGAAGCAACTCTTCTGAGAATTTTCAAGTGAATAACCTGTGGATTAAATGTAATCCATAGTGGAAACTCCAAAGCTCTCCAAATTTTTCTGATTCACACCTTATCAGTAAAAAAAAAAATAGCACGAACCTCAACATAGATATGCTTATTTATTTATAAATTAAATATTAGTATACTAACGTATAAAGATTACATTATATTTGGTATATTCTTTATACTTAATATAAAATATTTGTACAGCTTAATTTGTCTAGGTGTGCTTTAAATCTTCAGTTCTTAAGTGTAGTTTGGGGACCCGTTTTAAGGATCTGCAAAATCAAATATTTATTTTAATTTCTACAGTATATATTGATAGAGGTAACCCACATATATCAATATTCTTTGAGGTCTGCAATTATTTTTAAGAATGTAAAGAGGCCCCAGCTACCAAAACCCACTGCTTTAAATAAAATATAATCATAGACATTGTAATATTTTTCCCCACACCTCAGGAGATTATATTGTGCAGCTCTGTAAAGGGTGTATCCCACTTTGGACACCATTGCCTCAGAGTTCAAGCTTTTGGGGATTTAATGCACGACCAAAGCTCGCTTACGTTTTTCAGGACAGCAGAGGCGAGGCGACGACCTCCACCAGCCTCATTCTTAAGGCAAACCAAGCCAAAGGCGGCTCTTCGCGGGAGGAGGCGCCTTCTAACTAACATGGCTGCCTCCGCCGGAGACGCCTGTTTCCCCGAACTCAGTTTTGGCGGGAAAAGTTTTGGAGGCCTCCTCACCTGCCTCTCGCTGAGCTGTAGCACTTTAGCCAGGCGCTTCCGTTCCGGCGGGGAGAGGTATTTCTGCGTCTCGAACTTCTTCTCCAGCTCGATGGTTTGGTCGTTGGAAAAGCGCACTTGGCCTCCTTTCCGTTTGTGCAGTGGCCTCTGCATGAAGGGGCTCCACAGTAGCGGCTTCCCTGCAAGAGACACAACGGGGTGGGTTAGGAACCGCCAGGGAGGGCCGGGCGAGCTCCCTTTCTCCGCTACGGACTCTCGCTTGCCTACTCCGCTTTCTCAAACTCGGAGTACTTTCCTTGGTTAAATTCGGAAAAAAAGTGCTCGTTCCTAACTACGCTGCTCTTTGATCCCGACAAACAACCAGCCAGCCCCAGTCCCTCCGCGCCCAAGCAGGGGGAAAGGACAGCCTTCTACATGTTAGCCCTGCAAAATGGGGGCGTTTAGGGTGGAAGGGTCTCTGCCCGCGCTATTTGGCATCGTCCCGGGGTGACCGTCGAGGAAGCGGCTGAGATCCTAGCGTTTCATTCTGAAATCGCTTCGTGAAAAAGGCATGGGGGGGGGGAGAGATGTCCCAGAGAGGACATCGCTCTTCTTAGCTTGACAGGTTTCTTTCCGAAGGTGCTCAAACCATTAAAATCCTCACTTGAGACCACAGGTGTGTCGTAATAAAGACATGCGCTGATAGGAGCTCTGCAGACGTTTACCGCTCGGATAGCAAATATTTCCCATTTGTAGCTTTTTTAGCCAGCTAGTCCCAAAGATGCTTTTTGAGGAAGCAATTGGACTTGCTTGTTTTTTCTTTGAAGACGTTTCACTTCTCATCCAAGAAGCTTCTTCAGCTCTGACTGGATGGTGGGGGAAATATGGAAAGATTTATACTCCTTGCAGACAGCTGGTCATTTGCATTCTTTTAGAGAGTCCTTGAGGCCACCTGGAGGTTTATCTGTATCCTCGGGGTCACCTGAGTAGTGCAAATGGGTGTGGAGCTTTCTTGGAACTGTTGAAAGGACTATATTGTAGACTGAAGATAGATGATTTTAGACGGGTATATTTAATTGGTACACCAGCGAGCCTTATGGTACCTTAAACGCCCACACGTGTCATTAACGCGAGAGACCTGATGCTTACAGACTTAGAAAGCGCTTGTTTTGCCACTGCGAGATTGTTTCCCAGTCGGATTCCGGCAATATTTCAGCAGAAACAAACGTCATGATTGGGGGTCCCCTTTCCTCGCCCAACGGACTTAAAAGTCGCTTTGGGCCCAACCACTGCCCTGATGTTACTGGGCGATCCATCGCAGGTCTTTTCATGAATTTCTAGCCCCACTCTGGCCATACTTACTAGGACTGTGTTCGCGCAACTTCCTCCCCCCCCATTACTTTACTCATAATTTATTCAATCCAACGGTATGATTCGAAGCAAAGTCTCACAAGAGAAGACGCGGTATGCCAAACCGCGCTTATTTAACGTATGGTTGCGGGGGGGGGCGCGTCCCGAGAAGGCTCCCGTGTTATAGATTGTGGGACTCAACCTACTTCCCCTCCACGTGCTTCAGCTTCCATCAACCTCAGGCAGCTTTGAAAGGGCAAGGGGTCGTGGGAGTTGTAATGCAAATCAGTGCTTTCAAGGGGTCCAAAACCACAGCACGCAAAGCTGACAGTGGGTCTCAACTCAGCCAAGGTTCCTAAATTCCGAAGTCCATCCGCTAAGATGCAGGTTTGTCGATTCAGACGGACTACTAGACTTTAACGGACAGCTGGTTGTTAGCGGGACGGGTTACTCGCGGGAAAGATCCGATCTGCCGGGACTTGGGTGGGCCGCAGTGAATCGGCAGTGGTTCTCTCTTGGACCGGCCTTCGCTCTACTCTGCTGACGTGCGCTGGCGGGCAGAGGACCCTGGAAGCAGACCGCAGAAGGCAAGGGCAGAATTTCCGTCAATGTGTTTCCTGTTGGTGCATCAAAAGGAGAAGAAAGAGCCGAGCCTTCCTCCCTGCAGCTCGAATACGGCTCAAACCCCAGGCATCACACTTGGAAAGCAAAGATTGCGCCCACGCCCTGCTCCCCCGCGCAAAGGAGACCAGATCCAGTTCTCGCGCCTGATCCTCTTGCGCCAGGCCCGCCTGCTGATCGCCCTCTGCCGAACGCCCGACCTCTCGGGTTATTCTCATTCTTTGTCCTCGGAGGTACACTGCGCCTAAACATGGAGGTTTCGTTTATGCGCTCGCGGCTGCTCGTTCTATCAACCTGCAGGCGGGTCTGCGAAGAGGGGGGGGGGTGGGTTGTATTCTGTTTTCTTTCATGATCGCAACCACCAAGGGGGAGAAAGAGCCCCGATTTGGTCGAAAGCTTTAGCGGCTCTTGTCCGGAGGCTCCTTCTTAAACGAACGGCCCGAAAGGGGTTTCACCGCCGCCCGACCACCTCGGGCTCTCGATCCAAGCCATCAAAAACCTCTAATCACCAATTTAGCTGGACACGTCCTGTAAGTAATTATGCCCCGAGTGAAGTGGAACCGTTCAAAACCGAGAATCACCTTCGCCGTTTAGACATATAAAAAGGAGGAGGGGAATCCACAGCCGCCTTCCTAGTTTTTTTTTTTTTTGGTCCCGCTAGCCAAATAAACGAAATTTAATTTGAAAATTATTTTCACCCCACTCCCCGGCCTACTACAATATTTGTAAGTAAAAAATAAAAGGTTCTCTTTGTCCTTTTAAAATTATACTGACACAGAAGAAGAACAAAGCGGCTTTTTTTTCTGGAAGTGGCACAGAGCTTCAAGACAATGTGCATGAGGATAGGAGCTGTCCTCATGATCGGTTTAGGGGCCTATGGATTGTATCTCTACGGCACCTTCCCTAGTGAATATAAAGTTGCTATTTTACTGCCTAATTCCCTTACAGAAACAACTACTTCGCCAGGAATAGCCAACTGGTTTCCGTCTCTAGCTAGCAATCCTATATCCTCCCTTCTCGCTTTGCTGGTTGCCTCGAGAGGCAGGCATAGGATCGCTCCCCATCGCATTTCTCTGGCAATTGGTTTTTGTGTCAAAACGTTGTGGAGACTTCCGCGATTCTCTTAAAATTTCTGTAGATGTCCCTGCAAAAAGCTACACAATTTATTCAGAAGTTACATCTATTCTTAAAGGTGTGAGATTTTCCTCGATTTCGAGTTGAATGCCAGGCTAAAATACCACGGTTATAGTGTGCTTCCTTTACTGAAAGCCTTAGGGTTGCAAATAAAACTGAATTGGGTTAGCCGGGCTTTTGGCTCTTGTTTTCCGGTTAAAAGAAGGGAGGAGATTTACTTCCAAATAATGTAATCCAGGAAGTAAATCAACAAAGCAATAAAAACAGAGCAATAATATTTGTTGCAGAATACTCAATAGCCAAAGAAGACCCAGTCTTTTTATAGATAATTTGTATAATCATAGATCTATGAGTGGAATTACTGATGAAAAAGCAGAATACACACATTCAGACACATTTTATATTTGCAAATACTTAAGATATATTGTTTGGTTTTGTTGATGTAAACTGATTCAGAAAAAGAAATAAGTGTGTAGTCAAATATAATTCATATAGTGTCTTCTCCACAAAAGCCTTATGGATATGTCAGAAAATTTGATTAAATTATCTCTGTTCAGAAAAAACCAAGTTAATTAATTCTCAACTACAAAAAAAAAATGGACAGAAGGAAGCAAACTGAAAAACTTTAACCTTGGACTCGAACACATTTAACACACTTAAGGACAACATCCCGTTGAAATCTATGGACGTGCTTTGCTGTTTTCTTTATCTTTAGAAATAATTAAAATGGCTGTGTGTGAAAAAGTGAGCAATATCTGGGAGCAAATCCTTACTATTCAGCCTCTGTTTCAATCTGGGGACGGTTTGGGAAAGAGAAGATGCTGGTTTGGGTCCTCATGCCCCGACAGCCCTGAGATGAGCCACAATCCCATACTTCTAGGGAGAATTCACACATTTTCTGTACATGAAATGGTCGTCCTCTTTCACCAACCGCCCTGCGAGGTAGGCAGCTTATGTTACCTACGGAGGAGTTTTATTCTGAAGCGAGCTTCTGGCTTTTCAGGCAAACGGAGATTATTATTCCCAAACTAAATCCGCAAGGGAAAGCAACCCGGAAACAACCCCAGAAAAATCCAAGTCCCGAAGAACACGTCTTCTAGGAGATTAGATTCCCTGCAAATCCTACTTCTGATTAACTTAACTTCCATTCACTCAGCAGAGTTTTCTGGTTTCCAGGATGCCTTGAACTAATCGACCGCCCATCCGGGCTGCCCAAAATGCTGGGCTTAAATGTGGTTGCCTAATCTGTGCCTTGTGAGCAGCCGTTTTTTGTTTTTTGTTTTAACATTTGTATAGAAGTCTACTCAGAAACCAGTCCCATTGGGCGAGTGGAATCGGGTGCCACTTTCCAGGTCCCAATCCGCTCTTTCTCAGTGGGCTCTCCCGTAGGAGCCGGACAGGCAGTTTCAGTTACGCACTTCCACTTCAGGGCCACTTATTCCTCCTGGACTGAGGAGTCTGGACGGTGGGTCGCCATTTCTGTTAACGATTCTAACCCAGCATCAAAACAGCCAGGAAGCCAAGAACGCTTGTAGTGCCTCTCCCTCCCCCCCCGCCCCAATCTTGGTAGCCTTTGAGGCGCCCCCATTTCTTGAAGGCCTGAAGCTCTTGAGATGTTCCTGGGAGGAAAAGGACATTGAGGGGGCCACAGGAGCAGACGGCAATCCGGCACCTCTTGGAAGTCTCCCTGGAGTGGGTGGAACTGACTACGCAGGTCCGGGATCCTGCGGTCGCGCCAGAAAGCAGGAGGCCGAGCGGTCACGTTTCAAAGGGTCTGCCTTCCCCTTCGCCCCCTCCCCCCGCTTCGGTTTTGGGTTGCTGTCTGTCTCCGCGCCTTTGAAAATGCAGCATTGTTGTTTGCGTCAGGCATTCAGCAGTTTTGGTGCAAACAGCCTTTTTCTTTTCTTGAAAGGAAGCAACGAGTTATTTTAGCTGTCATAAAGCTCCGTCCCACACAGAGGAAATGAACAATATCAGAAAAACGGATCCGGGCTATCAGAAGCCGAGTGTTTCCTGAATGTGTCTGTATTGAGGATGTCGATAAAATAATCAGCAGCGTGCACGGTTCCCGGAGACGAGCCAGCTCCGGGCGTCCAGGAAAATACTTTACAGCTTCTGAAACCAGATTTGCTCCTATCAAGAGCTCAAGATATCCTGTATGAACGGAAAGGGGTCAGCCAACCTCGCTCAGACTGCACGAACCGACTCCTACGCCAAGCGGGCGACTCGCAAAGACGCGAGGTCGAACCCGGCCGGGTGATGGACCGAAAGATAATTCCGGAGATCCGTGGAGACCCAGATAGGGGTTTTCCAATTGTTCTGGGATCCCAGTTTCTAAAATCCTAAGCAGCATGGGCATTGCAGTCCCAATGCATAGCCACGCGGGTTCCCTGAGTAACATTACCAATTCGCACAAGGCGCTTTATCCGCGAATAATAGAAACACACTGCTCTTTCAATTAAGCCAAGTTTCCGACTTTACCCGACCCATTGATTTCTAAGCTAACCTAAACTGGAATTTTGTATTAAAGTAGACTAAAATAGGAACATCCTATAATTTAATGGACCGTAGGAAACGGAGGGAAGAACACACACACACACATACACACACACACACACATATCTTTTCAACCCCAGGCGATTTATTTTTCAAGGAAAGGGGTTGCAATGTAGAGGATTCGGGGGCAATAGATATGGTTCGGCCCCCCCTTCCTAGGAATGTAGACTTGTGCAAAACAAAGTTTAGTAATGGGCTGTTTTTAGCTGCTGTTGTTCAAGGTACGAACAGTGGTAAAATGCAGTCCTGAGAACATTTTCGATGTTTCCAGGGATTCCCCATTATTGGATCCTAATTTGGGGGTGGGAATACCGCGGAGAAATGAATTATATGGACACAGGTCCCCGCAGATCAGTGTGTAGGAAGCTAAAGCAGACCTTCTTCACCATACCCACGGCCGCCCCCGCCTCACCGCCTTCCACTCTCCATTCCAACCTTTGCGCGCAGCTTAGTTGATCATCTCAGTGACGCTGGCTTCCGAGGAAACCCAGATTGGGAAAGTGCGCGGCGGCAATTCATACACTCTTCAACTAAGCCGACTTCTAAGGAAAGCCGTCGGAAGAAGAGAGGGCTGGGAAGGAAAACATGCCGAGATAACCCGCCTTCAGACCTTCTCTTGGTCTGTTACAGTTCCTGGCGTAAATAAAGCAAAGGCTGGCTATTAACAACAACGCGATACTTTTTGCGTGTTTCCCACCAGCTCAGAAGTCGCGATAGCCCTCCGGTTGAAGCCACAGACAAGCAACTGTCAAGACGATCTCTGCAGAGCCTGACACTCATTTCCCAGTAGGCAGCAACAGACCCGGATTCTTGTTGGGAGTCGGGTTTCCGTGGTTGGAGGATCACTCCCATCGCCCCCCCCGCCACTTTTAGCACCACTTCAGACGACTTCACAAATCGCGAGTTAGCATGCCCTATTACTTGACCTCCGATATATTGGTCCGGAATTACAGCCGATGCTTTGTTCGCGGATTCAAGTGGAAAGTGATAAACCGCTGGAGCCGAGGGGCTCCTCCGGAGTTTGGCACAGGCTGGGCGCTGCTCCTTTCTCCTACTCAAGACACACAAAAAACCCTCTATCTGAGGACTTCTTCTACGGCTACCTTTTTAGAAAACGCTTATAGACCCTCTGCGAATACCTCCATAAATCGGGGCAAACGACTCCGATTCCAAAGCGTCAAAGACGTCTCGGAAATCAGGCGAGCCGGCGGGGAGGGGGCGTCACTCCGCTTTCCCCTAATCCCGGAGCAGGCCAGCCGGAGCCAGACCGCTGCGGTTCCCCCCTCCCCTCCTATTCCCCGGGCCGCGAGACTTACCCAAGGGATCGTGGCGGAGGAGCGCGTGCGAGTAATCGCCGACCGCCCGGGGAAACGGGTAGAGCGGCGGGCCGGCCGCAGCGCCGTAGGGGCCGCTCCCGTAGGTGGCGGCAGTCAGGGGGTGGGAGAAGGCCGGGTGGATCGGCGTCGGCTCGTAGATGGGAGTCCGGTAGGAAGCCACCAGGCTGGTGAAGGAGGAATTGGGCGACGGCAAGGTGGGCGGAGGAGGCCCCTGCGCCCCCCTGCCCAGGATGTCTTCGATGTAGAAGGGCGTCGGGTGCACCGGCTGCAGCATCGGGGTGGGCGCGTATAGAGGGGGCAGAGAGGCCGACCCCGAAGGCTGGTATTGCATGGCTGGTCCGGCGGAGGCGGGAGCCTTTCTGCGCTCGGGCTTCGGGCCCCGGCCCGTCTTCCTCTGCCGGGACCCGCCGCTGCTTTCCCCCTGGCAGGCGAACCGAGGGCCCCCTGCCGCCTCCCACACGAGAGGTTTCAATCTGGGAGCTCCGCTGGGCAGCGCCGCTTCCTGCCCGGGCCGTGTCAAACCAATGAGGAGAGCCGGCGATGGAGCCGGCCACACCCACAGGCCCCGCCCACCCCACCGACTTTCTTCTATCCCGCGGCGTCAATCCACAGCGGCCGACTCAACCGCTGCCTGGCGACTCCGGGTGGGGTGAGGTGGGGGGCACGACAGGGTGCCTTAAAGTGTATTCCTAGGACTCTTGGGGGGGCCATGGGTCTTCTCGGGGGGGGGCGGGGAAATCAAAAATGATTGGCAAGCCTATGTTGAAAAATAATACAGTATTAAAATCCCAACCATCCTGAGAGGCGGTAGCGGCAGCCAATGCGTCAGTTTCAATTTTTAATTCGGTAAATATGATAAACATACAAACAAAAACCTCTTTGGGGGTCCTCTATATTTTTTAAAAGTGGGAAGCGGTCCTGAGGAAAAAAGTGTAAGATTGCCCAGTTCCTCTCCTATAAGGACTCGTGGACTGATTACTCGCAAAAATAAAAGAGGTCTTCTTCCTATTCCCCCCCCCCTTTCCCACCAATGCCCCAGTACAGGGAGAGGCACGAAGCCCCCTGGGTTAAATGCAAAGGAAAATGGTTGTATTCTGCAATTCTCTCCGCCGATTTACTTAACCCGTTTTAAAACCATCTCCAAACTAGGGAGGTGTGAGGGTCCCTGCAAAACTAGGGATGCTCTGGACACGTGTAGGATGCGTTTAGCTCTACAAATGAAGGATTTTCGTCTCCCGTTTCTCTCGAATGCATTTTTCTAGAGCAGGGGTAGGCAACCTTGGCTCTTTTATGACTCGTGGACTTCAACTCCCAGAATTCCTGAGCCAGCACGGCTGGCTCAGGAATTCTGGGAGTTGAAGTCCACGAGTCATAAAAGAGCCACGGTTGCCTACCCCTGTTCTAGACCAAACGTCTCTACTTGGACCTGTTGAACGGTCCTTTCCACAGTTCCCAGTTTACAAAGCAGGACTGTGGCAACTGTTTCTAAGCAAATCAAAATGGCACCCATGTTCGGAAGGCTAATTTGATAAGTTGGAGTCAAAGATTAAAGCACAATAGGATAGATTTTTGGTAAGCCTGTGTTTAAACCTCTGGAGTGTTCTTTCTCACAACTCAATTATTGTGGTTAAGTTAATCATGGTTCATCCACTTCAAATTTCTAAGCTTTCACTAAACTAAGCACAGGATTGGATTTTCACAAGCTAAAATACAGCTGAGCACAATTCTACCCAGTAGTTGCATTCACAGAAAAGGCTTAATTTGTTTTCTATATTAACCATTCCCTGGGTATGCTGAACTATATAGCATAACAGACAGGATTTATCCACCACCCTAAACTACTGGAATAGCTATAGACAAGTTAACATCCATTGAGCATGTTGTGCTAATACATCTGCTAAAAAATGTTGACTTATTAAATTTATATGCCACATAACTCTCAAAAATTCTGGGCACTTAGATTTTTTAACTTATCTGTGGATGTATGGGTATGACCTGTGGATGTTTGGGCACAGTTATTGTGCCTTTAAAAAAAACTGTATGACTGTCTCTTTTACCTGAAATTTGGCCTCAAAATTTGAGTTTAATCCCTGAATTATCCACAGTTGTTTGATTGTCTAACTGGCAATAATGCCATCCAGCACAGATGGTCCAATCACACACATCCAGGAATCACAGCTTTGCCTTTTCCAATCCTCCTCAGTTGCAGCTTCTAAACCGGTGGGACAGAGCCTGGCCTTAGGGGGTTACCAGAAGTGGCTTGTAAAAATCCAGATGACCACTGGATGGCAGCAAAAATAGACAGAATACTCTACCTCTTGGAGGTTATACAGTATACCAGGCTTCTAGATTTTAGCAGACTATATATGTTGTAGTCCTTTACAACTGAAGGGCCTCCAGGTCAGGAAATGCAGACTGTTGGGCCAGTCAATTTCTTCTTTGGAATTAAAAAGTATATATTGGCTTGGAAATTCCTGTAGCAGAATTCACCAAAACATACTCTACCCAATTTTCTGGTTCACTAAACTAGCCACACTGGGATGAGGTTTACACAACATGGTAGCCTAAAGGTGGCTGGTGTGGGATTCAAGGTGTGGTGGGAATCCAGTTGTTTTCAGATAGTTCTGACTGAATATCCAATCCTAACTCTGGCAGAAAACAAAGTGATTTCTGCAGATTCCTTGCCCTGGCAGGATGGGGGGGCTTGGGGGGATTGGGTAGTAAGCTTCTGCATATAAACAGAGAGCAAAAACCATACTCATTTGCACTGATTTTGTTACCTAGTTTGGTAATGAAATGTCTGCAGGTAAACAGGTCAGAAAGCACCAAGTTACAGATAATTCTCTTCTATTGGAGAGGGGTTCCTTTCAGCTTTTTCAGAATTGCTATTTGGAGGGTGCAAAGGGTGCATTTTCTCTCATTTTAATCATAAACCCTCACCCTCCCCAGATACGCAGCCTGCCTTCATTACTATTATATCAGTAGAAGAGCAGGGGTAGATGTTAGATTAGGATTTGGGAGATTTTGGGAGATCCAGATTCAAGGCCATCTTCAGCCATAGAGGTTTGCTGGGTAATTTTGGGCCAGTCAATTTCTTTCAGCCCTACCTACTCACAAGGTTGTTGTGGGAAGAAATGGAGAGAGGAATGATCTGTTTTGTGCTTCTGTAGGGTGGAGAATAACATTTCCTTTGAGGCAAATGATTCCTGATGGCCATCATGGACACATCCTTGCCACATTCTTGGCATGAAATAGAAGAGGTTTTGCTGCCTTCGAGGACTGGGTTTTATTTTCCTGCCTGGACTTGGAAAGACCTGAGGGGTCTACCTAGTAGTCCAACCTAGGCAGATTCTGCTTAGCTTTCTCGGTGGCCAATATTGGTGCTGCCATCTGCCGATAAAAACGAGAAAGAGAGCTAATGCATCAATCAACCATTCAGCAGCCAAAGCCTCGGGGAAACAGATGACGGCTACGGAACGGGCTCTATTAGCTCCTGCCTGCTTAGTTCTCACCTAAATCTGCTTTCTCGCTTTCAAGGCGGAGCGCGCGTATTTTTTCCCCGCCGCGGAAATCAGCCTTCATTTTGCTCTGGAAGCGTTAGATGTGCGGCTTGATGTACTTAGCATGCCTTACTTACGTTAGTCAGCAAACCCATAACACGCCTCAGCGTTGGAGCCGGATCTCTCTCTTGCAGGGGTTCTCAACCTTGGCAATTTTAAGACTTGTGGACTTCAACTCCCAGAATTCCTCAGCCAGCAAAGCTGGCTGAGGAATTCTGGGAATTGAAGTCCACAAGTCTTAAAGTTGCCAAGGTTGGCTGTATCTTCTCCACCGTGGCGGGAAACTCGGCTGGGAGAGAGGGACTCAAGGGCCTCGGCCAGTCGCAGTCCGCGTGGAGAAATAGGAATCAAATCGACGCAGGAAGAAATTTCCAGTAACTTTAAAATCACGCATTTTGGGGTATTTGCGCGAAAGGATAGTTTTCCGGGCTGCACAGAATAAAAATGCCTTTTAATCCCACCACCCTTGCAGCCCAACCCTTTCCCGCCATTTCTTTTTTTTTTTCCTTCTAGAAGTTCGAATCCGATTAATTCCAACTGTCCAGAAATGTTACTTTTAGAAAGCTAGGTCATTTTAAATGTAATTCTCTTAAATATTATACCGGATTGTCTGATTATTTGATACAGCCTTTCGCTGTTCCTCAAATTTGGTGATTTTGTCCTACCTTTCCATTCTGTGAACAGGCCCTAATCAAACAACTTCAAAGAACAATTGAACAGTTGTGGTTTTTTAAATAGAAGACTGCTGCGGGGTTTCAATATTCCTGCTCTACTGGATACTGAAACCTATAAAACAAATATATTCTGGCTAAATTAAACTTCCTCATTTGTCCTCTCTTTTCTTTATTCTGTTTAAATGTGGGAAAAGCTATGTTTCATTCTCTAGTTTCTGAGATCAGCTTCCTCAGCCAGGTCATCTCTGCATAACTGAGTACCACAAGCTCTATAAATCTGGCTTCCCCGTTGACTTTGCTTGCTGGAAGGTCGCAAAAGGTGATCACATGACCCCAGGACACTGCAACCATCATAAATATGAGTCAGTTGCCAAGCATCTAAATTTTGATCACGTGACCATGGGGATGCTGCAACAGTCAAAAAGTGTGAAAACAGTCATAGGTCACTTTTTTCAGTGTTGTTGTAACTTCAAATGGTCACTAAATGAACTGTTCTAAGTCGACTACCTGTATTGCTTTCTGCAGAAAGAAAAAACTGGTAGATTTGGGCAAACACAATATATGTATAAACAAAATAAACAGTTATGATCTATCATTACAAGTATAAAATCTGTGGATCTAGATCACACTAACTTAGATGCTAAAGGGGAATTCTGGGAATTAAAGTCCTAAAGTCCTCACATCTTAAAGTTGCCAAGTTGCTCTAAACTTTCAAAAAAGGAGGGTGAAAGAGTTGTTTGTTTGTTTTTCACAAATCAATGGCCAGTCTTTCCAGACAGTCATTTTCACATATTTATAGAGTGGGATGCCAGTTTATCTGTTAAGATCATTTTAACTCCAGCTCGGGGCCTCTGTCAAAAAAAGGAAGCCTCTTATCTTTGCTGTTTAGGTCCTATCTTGTCCAGAGACTGGCTCCCTTCCTTTCCAGAGCAAACAATCCATCTGACTAGGTGGTGCCAACTCATCGTGTTGACTTTCTCCTATAATTGCTGGTTTATCAGCTTTGCTCCTTAAACATCTCAATCCACCTCAAATTAAAAGCAGAATAAACGAAGGCACAGGTGTATGCTCATGTGCCCGCACTGCAATGACAAAATGGTCAACTAATTGGGCAATATAATTGGAAGAAATGGTCCATATTTCTTCAATCAGAAGAACTTTCCTGTTATGGTGAGGGATTTGTGAAAGTATTGCCTAAGAGATTGAGTCAGTTATAAGATAGTCCATCCTCTCTTTCAGACAAAA